CAGTTGCGGCGATAGTGAGACCCCGAGGGAAGTTCTTAGTCCCATTAAGGTATGAAAGGAAGATGTTTGGAATACCAAGGTCGTGTGCGTGGATTTTCGCAAAGCCCGTGTCGCGATTCTCACTGAGACGAGAGATGAGGCTAAGGTTGTCGAGGGCAAAGAGAACAGGAGGGCTACAAACAGGAATAACTTAGTTGAATCTTCGGAGATAAATATAGCTTGGGGGAGTACCGGTCAGTCATTGATAGCTCGGCGATTAGTGCCATGAAGATGTCATGCGACACTGTTGAATCTTCAATGCCAGCGTCAACGAGTTTAAGAAGCGTTGGGAATGTCTTCTCGGTTTTACCAACTCTATGAGGCGTGGTAGATTCCAAAATTTTCAGCAATGGAGCGTTGGCCTTGTGGATACGCTGCAGGAGGGCTGCTGTATATTCTTTCTGAACCCACACGTTCCAGTGTGTATCGTATTCGTATTCTGTATGCCCGAGTACTAGGTCCAAAGCTACGGGGGTATTAATAACTGCACACTTGTATGCGCATGTAGGGAGGAGGAGAAAGAGGAGATACAGTTTGGAATGGAAATGACGACCCAGTCGCTCTGGAAGGCCCATGCCATTGCTTGTGCTAGTAAGATACTTCTCCCACTTCCCTTGACACCATCCAAGATACGACGCTCGTGTAGTTCAATTTTATTGAGACGGGCCTCATTGACCGCATTAATCATTGCGCCGATCTCCGTGCTCTCCTTCCTAACCAATGTCCCCGGTTTCTGGAAATACGGCCAGTGCTGTCCTGTCTTAAAGGCTTCAATGTGTCGCAACTTATCTACCACAGATCCGGGGATCTCGAACACCGTATTCTCAGTTTCTGGATTTCCCGCTAGCTCCTTTGCCATCTCTGGAAGGGTGATCGCCGGTGCATTGGTATTACTAAGGATGATGGTGTTCTTGATGACCTTGCGTTGGCCGTCTAGGTAATGTTTCTTCTTGACTGGAATATCCTTCTTTTTTCGCTTATGCTGGAACTTGTTGGACGATGCGCGCTGCTTAGCGGCGATCGCTTTGAGGTTTTTAACGTTACCGCCTTTCTGAGGGTTGGCCTTTTTGGGGGGATTTGCCAGTAGGGCAGAGGAAGTGGTGAATGAAGCGGCAGCTCCAGATGTCGGAAAGACTCGCGGAAGAGGGCGCAGAACGAGCGGGAGTCGGGGAGCCCCCAGACAGCGGAGTGAGAGCGGTAGGAGGACCATTGCGGTAGTGGTACTGAGATTGCCCTGGTAGTGGGGGGTGGGAAGAGTCTGGTGGGGGGGTGATTGTGCATCCTCAGTTACCCTGTCGCGGCGTGGGCGTTTTTTTTCTTTCTTTTGAGGCTCTGGGATAGAGATATTCTTTCTCTTCCTGTAAATAAATCAGCGATCGATGTCATCTACAATGCCTACAGCAATGGAAATAGATACCAAAATGGAGAGATTGTATGTCTCAACTCTATCATCATTCTTTCTAAGAGTACGGCTACTAACGCTACAGCACAGGCCTGTTCTGGTAGAGAAGCCGATTCCTCTTGAATTCGACATGGGCAATCTCTGCGCTTTCGATACCAACCCTCTCGATCCTGCAGCCTATAAAGAATCGCTTGAGCAATGTCTCCAGGAAGCAGCTCGTGACGGTGCACAAGCGCTCATCAACCAGGTCTTAACTACGATCACGCTAAAGAGCACTCCTGATGGCGTATACGCTGAGCTACCGGAACCAGTGACGCCATTGCCCAGAGAGAAGCCGATTCCAAAGGCGAAGGAGCCCACGAAGTGGTATGCTGACTTTTCTCATTTCCGCCAATCTTCTAAGTCAATTGCTGACCATGCTACAGGGAGCTATTCGCCAAGAAGAAGGGCATCAAGGCCAAAGAGAAGGATGGTAAGCTCGTCTATGACGAGGAGAAGGGCGAGTGGGTTCCTAAATGGGGCTACAAGGGTAAAAACAAGGACGGCGAAGGGGACTGGATCGTTGAAGTCGACGAGAAGAAACAGAAGAAGAAGACCGGTGAGGAGGAGGATGTGGACCCAAGATCTCTGAGCCGTGCAGAGAGGATAGAAAGAATCAAGAAAAATGAGAGACAAATGAAGAAGAATGAGAAGAGGGCTGTTACTGGTGGAAAAGTATGGGCTCCGAAGAAGGGTGCCGGTGTCAAGAAGAGGTAAAATTAGGTCTGACGATGTAATGAGGTGTTTGTGTAATTCTTAAGTTGTTTGCATGTACAATATTATCGGGGTTTCAATTCTAAAAAGTTATCTGTTTCCGAATAGTACTCAAACCAGGGGCTGAATTGAAATCACTACCAGGTATTCATTGTTTATGACCTGGCCGCATGCAAAGGTTTAAATCTCAGATCGACCTCATTTTCCATGTTTATAACTGCATTAATCAATTCGCAGTTTTATCTTTATACTCTATTCACTGAGATTTACTTATTTAGGACTCGTTTGGCAACTAGACAAAACAGAGTTTCCAAGGGCCAAAGCCTAACAAAAAGGTCGCTCTAGCCCACTACCAATTACTTTATATACGAGCTTTTTTATGTATTCGACACCGCCGGTTTAGTAATTCGCGTGCAACAAGCTCGCGAGCTTTAATTAAAGTACATCTATGTAAATATTCCTTATATAAATTAATTCCTCGTGTAGCTTATTAGGATTATAGAGAGTAACTAATTAATTCTTCACAGTCCACCATGAGTGGTCATGAGCTATTATAAGGCTCGTGCACAAAGGATGACTCTTTGTATCTACAGATTATTTATATAGCTAACGACCAAACTAAGATCGAGGCGTTGGAATGTGATTGTTCAAAGGCAGCTAATTGCGTACATATATGCCCTCATGAAAATTGTGTCCCTTGAGTTCCCTGGATCAACAAGTTGTTTTCTCCGGTTCGTTAAAATCGAAGTAAAACACTTTAATAGGAGTGCAAGCAGCAACATCGTCCCAAAATTGCTGATGGATTACCAGACGGTCATTTGTCATAGCTTGAAATTTACAATCCACCGCCCGAGCCGCGTCTTCCGTGAAAAGTAGGGCCAGCGTTGTAACAAGCTTCTGTATTCAAAAATTTGCCCAATGTTAACAATAACTCTAGTCCTGTCAGTGCAATATGGCATACGTAAAGCCCAAATTGGGGAAGTTCCACATACTTCGTAAGTATCTATATGCTCAAAAGGACAAATCATCCCTCGTCCCTTTGTGTTACCCCTATTGTCCACTAGGTATAGTGTTGCTAGGTCCCCCATTGGTAGTTTTGAATCGATGTCTGCTTCCATTCCATCAGCTGATTGATAGGCACCCCAATCGAATACATATGTCAATATCTTTACTCACCAGTCTTGTAGTATAAATGTGTCTCTTGACTTCCAGATTGAAATCGTAAGATTGATGGCTTCGTTGGACCCTTGAATGAATTTATAGACAACTGGCATATCAGCTGAAGTGCATTCAAAAATGAACTACCCCGCAGCGCGATTAGGTAACCTGCATGTGATGATCCACCTAACGAACACTCCGATCAGACAATAGGTGCGATATTTGATCTAATTAGTAATCCATAATTATTATAATGTGCAAAAAAGACTCGGGCTGCAATGTATGGTGCGCCCACTCTTAAAGGTAACCAAAAGTGACGAAAGTTCAATCGCTTATCTTCACCACCAAAAAGATAGAAAAAATCGGTAAGATAAAAGTATAGTAATAGTGATGAACTTGAGCTATATCTTACAGATCAATTTTTATATCTATCATGGCCATGAAGTTATAAGAGATTGAAATTGGCTGTTTTTGGATGTAAAAAAGCGCTAAGACTGGACAAAGTGGAACCGTATTATACCAATTTATACCCCTTGAAAAGCAAACCTGATCGAGTTGTGGCAGTGATGCAGAAAAATGGCTAGAAATGAGCCCTCTGGTTGGCTCATGAGTCCATATTGCAGCCACAATTGTTCCACATCCATATGCTGCCGTGTCACCTTTGAGAGTGTGCGCACCATACGTACTATCATGAGAGATCACTCGTCATTTGTTCACCTTCCTAGCTTCTCAATCATATACATACATGTACTCGCTTGTCAACTATGTATTTGCCCAACCAGCAAAACACACCAAAAATCGAGGTTTTCAACAACTCATAAAAAGTCCCATAGTTATACCAAAACTACAACGACCAAGTATAGTATAATTTCGATAATGGAGATTCATGCTTCAAATTCTTGGCCTAATTGAGATACTGGTAAAGGTGGAGAGGAAAGAAATAAAAGGACTTTTAAGACATCCTTCGCCTCGTTCTTTATGGATATGGCCTAAAAGTGGCCTGTAGAGTCTTTCAGGTGTCTAGATAAAAGATGCATAATTTCAGGGGAGATGGGAAAGCTCTCGAGATTCTATATGTTTTGCTGGTTGCGCAAAAACATACTTGATATGCGAGTATATATGGTCCATTCCCACCTATGGTTATTTAACGATCTATACATGTAGCTAAACACACACATACATATACATAGCGCCTACATGTAATTATTATTCCACGGACTTAAGAAAACATTACACTTTGGAATACATGTATGATCGATATTGGATGTCCCTAAGAGCTTTGTGGCATCACATACATGTACAGTATGTTGCAACAAGTACCTACATGTATATATGCCAAGGTTAGTCTCGTGCCCAGCCTGTGTTTGCTTGATTTGTGCCTGCACACAGTGCGACAATAAAACAGTCTGGGAACGAGACTATGCCAAGGTCACTAGAGTATTCAACCGAATTGACCGGATCTCTCTGTTCTCGTTGCTACATGTATCTACCAAACGATACTGAAGCTCCCCATGCATGCTCAGGGTTAGGTTTCAGCACCGCAATATTATCCCGAGGAACCGTATTCCCCGCACACCCCTCCCAATATTGTTAAATGGATATAAATTAAACATCGTCGTTAAAATTCACCCCAATCAACTCTCTCTCGATGTCTTCCAGCTCACCTTTTGACCTCACGGGGAAAACTGCCCTGTGCACTGGCGGCACCCGTGGTATTGGCCAAGCTATGGCCCTTGCGCTAGCTGAAGCTGGCGCTGATATTATTCTTGTACAGGTGGGTCTCTCATCTAAATTTACTTTTATTTCACTCAATTAACATCGAATCCTATCGTAGAGGGATACTTCAAATACGGTGACTCAATCGGCTATTAGAGCTCTCGGTAAATCTTGCAATATCGTCACCGCCGACCTATCCTCAGCGGAATCTGTTGCTGCACTTATTCCGACTCTTGTAGCCGATCCCTCAAAGCTCCCCAACAGACGTATAGATATTCTGTTGAATAGTGCCGGCATCCAACGTCGCCATCCTTCTCATAAATTCCCAGAGGACGATTGGAATGAAGTTCTTCAAACCAATCTTTCTACGGTCTTCGTTCTTTGCCGTGACATTGGGAATTACTGGCTTAGTGCTTTACCTCCTTTGAGAGGAGGACGCATCATAAATGTTGCATCTCTTCTCTCCTTCCAGGGAGGATTAACAGTTCCAGCATACTCTGCTTCGAAAGGCGGTGTGCTACAACTGACAAAAGCGCTCAGTAACGAATGGGCTGGTAGAGGAATTGGCGTCAATTCCATTGCGCCAGGATATATCGCGACGGATATGAACAAGGCATTGATTAGTGATGAGACTAGAGCGAAGCAAATTATGGACCGTATTCCGGCCGGGAGGTGGGGCAGTCCGGAGGATTTTAAAGGACCAGTAGTGTTTTTGGCGTCCGAAAAAGCAAGTGGATATGTAAGTGGGGAGTGTTTGGTTGTTGATGGAGGATGGATGGGAAGGTAGAAACCTAGCTAGGTGTGTTTGTCATGTGAATTTCATTTTTAGGAGAATTGTTTATAGATCAAGAAATTATATAAAATGGCGACCTTGTGATGGATTGACTACATGTAGGTAAAGATAACATTATACCGAACGGGGTATTGAAATACCTCTTTTATTATCCCACGCATTTCTCGATTTACTATGTTAGTAATATTCTTTGGCCTGTTGGCTAGGCGCTATATTCTTGTTGATGATTTCAGCGGAGTGGATATATATATTAAGCTTAAAAATATTTTTTCGGATCCGAAATTAGGAATTGCCTAGGCTATAGGCGCTAGCCTAGCACTACATTTATTTAGGAGGAAGATCTAGATATATTTGATCCTGACGCGATCTTGGAAAATATTAACCGGGAGAGTATTATTTAGATGAAATCTGCAATTACATGAAGGTCGAGTTGAACCTAACATCAAGACTAGGGTTTAATTGGTCGAGCCCCGCGAACTCTAATTACATGTATAGCCAAGGGAGTTGTATTAGTTTTTGTTTCGCGCGCGCGCGGGAAAAAATCACCAAATTCGGTCGAAGTGAGCTTGAAAAAAACCAAAAGAGTACATCATATACATGTAGTTGCAGGTCGGTGGCCTATATACAAACTTTTTTCGCACTGGAGCTAATATATCAATATTAATACTTGGATGAGAATAAATTAACAACAACAATTGCAATTAACAACGACGTTGGATGTCATAGCCTATTCGGGTTGGATTAACACATAACAATATTCGCACAAGAGCTGCGAGTGATCTTCTGTGAGTAAGTGGTTACCCGGGCTGACTGACCAACCATTATTTTTAGGGCACAGGGCTATCGGGCCATTAGTGATTAACGCTCTCGTTCACTCCTCCCTCCATCATCATCTCTGTGACATCCTTGAATCTGATCTCCATCGGCGACCTCCATCAATCCATCATCAGAAACTATCCATTTTTACATACAAACATCCTATTGTCATTCCTAAAGCAAACCAAACAAGGCATTTAATATGGTAAGTAACCTAGAAGAGTTGGTATCAGATATTACCAGAAATCGGTGTTATCAGCTACATCAAGGTTTTAAGGTAGCTAGAAGCTCAAGAGACTAACATGCATCTTCGATATAGGGTAGTGCACAGTCTGGCATGGGTGGTCCTCCTTCCGGGGACCAAAACGATAAGTCTCAGGACAAGAAAGTAATTATCCATCTCCTCATCTACAGCCGCCACTCCCACCCCCGGGTTTCATCACTAGAGTTTCATCAAGTTACCATTTACCATCAGATAAAGCAAGCTAATAATTTAACAGAAAGAAAAGCCAAAGTACGAGCCTCCGCCACCAACCACCCGTGTTGGCCGTCGCAAACGCCGCGCCGCCGCTGGTCCCGATGCTGCTAGCAAGCTTCCAACAGTGTTTCCAAATGCACGGTGTAAACTAAAATTATTACGGATGGAACGTATTAAGGATCACTTGCTTCTCGAGGAGGAGTTTGTACAGAACCAGGAGCAGCTGCGCCGGAATAAGGGTGAGAAGGGAGGCTTAGAGCAGAGGCAAGAGGAGGAACGAAGTCGAGTTGACGATATGCGAGGAAGCCCTATGGGTGTAGGGAACCTGGAGGAAATGATTGATGATGACCATGCAATTGTTTCCTCCGCGACCGGGCCTGAGTACGATGTTTCCTCCGTAGTGATACAGTTTTGATAGAGTGCAAGACACACTAACGGGTAAATAGATACTACGTCTCTATCATGTCCTTTGTCGACAAAGACCTTCTAGAACCTGGCTGTTCCGTTCTTCTTCACCACAAAACCGTCTCAATTGTCGGTGTCCTTACAGAAGAGTCGGATCCTTTGATTTCAGTTATGAAGCTTGATAAAGCCCCGACAGAATCGTATGCAGATATCGGTGGTCTGGAAACCCAGATCCAGGAGGTCCGTGAAGCTGTCGAGCTACCCCTACTTCACCCTGAGCTGTATGAAGAAATGGGTATCAAGCCTCCAAAGGGTGTCATTCTATACGGAGCCCCTGGAACCGGAAAAACCCTTCTCGCCAAAGCCGTAGCAAATCAAACATCTGCCACTTTCCTGCGCATCGTTGGTTCTGAGCTTATTCAGAAATACCTCGGTGATGGACCTCGTCTCTGCCGTCAAATTTTCCAGGTCGCTGCTGAGCACGCGCCTAGTATCGTATTCATTGATGAAATTGATGCTATCGGTACTAAACGTTATGATTCAACAAGTGGGGGTGAGAGGGAAGTACAGAGGACTATGTTGGAACTTCTAAATCAATTGGACGGTTTCGATGACAGGGGTGATGTCAAGGTTATCATGGCCACAAACAAGATCGAGACCCTAGATCCTGCATTGATTAGGCCTGGACGGATTGATCGTAAGATTTTATTTGAGAATCCAGATCGTAAGTTCGCCCCTACAAGGAGTTAATTACAAGAAAGCCACTAATATCTAGCTATAGAAAACACAAAACGAAAGATTTTTACTCTCCACACCTCAAAAATGTCCCTCAGTAGTGATGTAGATCTTGAAGAGTTTATCAATCAGAAGGACGACCTCTCTGGTGCTGATATCAAAGCAATTTGTACTGAGGCTGGTCTACTCGCACTGAGGGAGAGGAGAATGAGGGTACAAATGGCGGATTTCAGGACTGCTAGGGAAAGAGTCTTGAAGACCAAGAATGAGAGTGAGCCGGAGGGTTTGTACTTGTAGGCGTTTTTAGTTAGGCGTCTAAGTACAAATATGAGGATCTGATGACGATTAATTCATTCTTTTCATTGTTGTGTATCATAGCACTCTTTTCCAATACCAAGGATTTAGGTCCTAGTTTTTTCCCCATGAAATACGAAATTTCTAAATTTACATTTGGGCTCTCTTGAATGTAGTTTTTTCTTCGAATGATATTATTTACAAGGTAACCCATAAATGATAGAACGCCATGAACATCCATTGTAAAAGTAAGTTTAACCTCCAAGGTTTCGGATTTAAAACAACGTATCTTCCTGCAAAATGTTAGAGACAGGATATATATACGGAACTTGAACTGGATGCATACGTCTCTAAGGTATTCTCCAACATCTGCTTGCCTAAAGGTCGTAATACCGGTAGGATCAAGCCTTCTAACTTCGGCAGTCGATCTTGCAGTTACTCCGAACCCCTGCAACCATAATCAGCACCCCAAATCCACCCCCGAAAAGAGAGTTAGGAAAAACAAACCAACGGTGTATCATTCATTGAGTAGACAATAACCCCCTGGTGCTCTGGTGTATCCTCACTAATCCTACCAACATGTGCCTTGACAACATTGTTCCCGTACAGAAAGGGCATCTCTCCATTCGGTTTCACCCAGACCTTGTATTTCGCATGTTCCGCAATATGGTTTAACGCTGTGATATGAAGTTTGAATTTTCCAGTCTTTGTGAATTTTCCTAAACAGGTTCCAAGAGAGAGGAGAGAGTCGCGAGCGACAGAGGTGGCTAGCTTTGCAATTGATTCACGGACATAATAAACTCGATCCTTCTGGATGCGGAAGCAGTGAGGGTCATCTGGTCGGTCAATCAAGTGGGTGATATTACGGCCGATGTAATTTGCAAGCTTCTCAAAGAGGCGTTCAGTTTCTATATCAGTGAGAGGACGCATTTTGATATTTGGGGGATGGGCGACTTTTTGGTGGGTCGTCTGTCGTGGAGGTTTTTTCTCTTAGGAAAACTTTAGTTGAAGCGTTTTGCGGCTCTGTGTGGACAGGGTAACTAGAAAGCCGGGTCAAGACTTGGCTTGAAATTTTCCCAGTTGGTTTGGGGTTGTTCAGTGGAATTTTTGTTTTACTAGAATTCTTCTATTACAATATACACTACGCTAGACGATACACAATGGCGGCACCAAAACGGAAACAAGATAACTACCCCGTGGCCAGTAAGAAGCCTAAATATGGGAAAGAATCTACCAAAAAGAACCCTAAAGATGGTGAAACTAAGAAGAGCAAAAAGGAACTTGCTGCTGCTGCGCCAAAGTCAAAACCGGTATTAAACGTGGAGTCCGATAGCGACGAATTGGACGATGACGATGCGCTCGTGGGCATCAAGGATGACGGGAGCGAGGCAGAGGAAGAAGATGAGGAAGGTGACGAGGAAGGTGACAAAATGGACACTGAAAGGAAAGCAGGCGGGAGCGCCGAGGCTGGAACTGGATGTAAGTGGTTTATGAATATCTTGTTAGGCTGGAACTACTTAGGTGGAAACTAATGCAATTGTTCCTCGTTCGGCAGCTTCAAAATCCAAAGAAGCGCATGCGGAACAGAAACGTCTTGCAGCAGAACGCAAGCAAGCAAAGCCACTCGGGAACATCCTCATCAGAGGGAAAAAAATATGGGAACAGATTAGAAGACGACATTTGCCTGCTGCCGAGCGAAAGGGTCTCATTGAAGAGTTGTCAAAACTAATCAAAGGAAACGTTAAAGAGCTGGTCTTCAAGCACGATGCATCTCGGATTGTACAGACTGCGTTAAAGTACGGTGACAAAAAGACGAAGGAAAATATCACACTTGAGCTGAAAGGAACATATGTCGCTTTAGCGCAAAGTAAGACGCTAATGCCTCGCCTAGAGAAACACAATTATTGACTTTTATAATTTAGGCAGTTACGGAAAATACATGGTTGTTAAGCTCATGCATTACGGTTCCCCCGAAATGAAGAAAATGGTTGTAGAAGAGTTCTACGGAAGCGTGCGAAAGCTGATCAAGCATCGTGAAGCATCTTTTGTCGTTGAAGATTGCTTTCGGGAATATGCCACCCCAGCACAAAAAGCAATGCTTCTCCGCGAGTTTTATGGTGTTGAATTTGCCATTTTCAAAGACGAAAAAGATGCTACGACATCATTGAAGGATATTCTTGAGAAAATGCCTGATAAGAGGGCCATCATTATGAAGTCTCTATTTGACCTTATCTCTGGCGTGGTAGAGAAGGGCGCTGTGTTTTTCACAATCGTTCATAAAGCCATGCTGGAGTATATTTCCAACGCTAAAATTGGTACCCCAGAAGTAACCGAGTTCATTGAGCTAGTAAAGGAACACGTACATGATATTGCCTTTACAAAAGATGGTACTCAGGTTGTTATGCGATGTTTAGCGCTGGGAACTGCAAAGGTATGGAAGATGGCTCATTTACAAGAGTACAAACAAAATATTAATATTAAGCAGGACCGAAAAGTGATGATAAAACAACTCAAACCAGTCACTGTGCAACTTGCTACAAGCGAAGTAGCTTACCTTGTCCTTGTAGCAGTATTCGAAACTGTGGACGATACTGTCCTTGTGGCCAAGTCCCTGCTGCCTGAGTTTCAGTCAAACTTCAATAATCTTGCAATTGACAAGTTCGGTCGGATCGCCGTCCTATATCCTTTTGCCGGACGCAAACCTAGACTTCTCCCACCTTCGGCACTTCCTCTCCTCAAAGAGATTGACGAGCTTCGCCAGGCGACCAGGTATGTAAAGAGTCGGCATGCTCTCTTAAACAACATGTCGAATACACTGAAGAATCATTCGCTGACACGGCATTTTAATCTGCAGTAAGAAAGACCCAGAAACGCGCCAGTCCGAACTAAGGAACCATTTTTCTCCTGTTCTGATAGAGGGCATCACCGGGAACGCCGAAGATTTGTGTGCAAACTCGTTTGGGTGTCAATTTATCATTGAGGTTCTTTTGGGCGCCACCGGTAAGCCACATGCTGCCCTTTCCGTTAGCAAATACTCGAATTAAGCCTTTTCTGTGGCTAACGCTAACCCGATTTGTCTTTACCTGCAGGTGATAAAGCCTCAACGCTAGAAAGAGTTGCCGAACAAACAGCAGGCGATCCAACTTCTGAAGGCCATATTGTAGGCACGGCCTTTGGTGGTAGAATGCTAAAGACTCTTGTAGCAGGTGGTCACTACAATCCTAAAGAAAAGAAGGTTGAAGGTAAGATACTGTTACACCAACCATAACCCTACAGTCCACTACTTGACCCTTCATCCCATGATTCTCTTTACTTTTTTACTTGCGCGATTCTCCCTCCTCAGTCAGGAGAAAAATGCTAATTTACTCCGGATCTTTCCAGTTGTCACGCCACTAATTAATTTCCACAATCTTCTTTACCCCAAAATCAAGCCTCACCTTCTTTCCTGGGCAACAGGAGCAGGATCGTTCATTGTGGTTGGATTGCTTGAAGCAGAAGGCTTTGAGCACGGATCCGATCTGCGCAAGGAGCTGAAAGAGAAGAAGTCCATGGCGAGGCTGAAGTCTGCAGTTGAAGATGGAAACAAAGGATCTAGTGTGATCCTTGAGGCTCTTGAGTAAAAAAAAATATACATATCACTCTGGGTCTAGCCTTGGCAGAGGTGGTTGGATGGATAATAGGGAAATGATTGGGGAAGCATCTGTACTATACTTAAAACATGGACTGTTGTCCGTATGAGGAACTGGGCTGGTACATGTATGTACTTACAACTGTTCACGCAGTAGTCAAGTCAGGGATTGATCGTGCCGTGTTGGGTTGCCCTACTACTTGGCCTGCGTATTTCATCCCGTTTTGCTGTAGGGTGACACTTCAGGAGGAGGGAGTGGAGGGTCAAACAGCAAAGAGAAAAAAAAAAGGAATTATCAGAATCACATACATGATGTATGTACTCCACAAGTACCACAAGTGTAGCCTTATCAGAGTACACCATCCTCGATGGGCTCACCGATTCCTCGTGCTCATTCGCTGCTGTATCTTTGTTGTCGTTTGTTAGCCCAGCTATTCAAACAGCCTATTTGAGTACGTAAGTGACATCTCCATGTCTCGGCAGGTAGCACGAAGAGCACGCCGTATCCTTGCACGGGTCTTTGCAGCAGGCAACTAAGCCAAGCTTTTCGGCCCGTGTTCCCAATTCCAGGAACATGAATTTTGGTATCTGGGTCACCGCAACTCCTAATTCCCAATAAGTAAATGCGGCTTACTGAACGGTCTTTATTGTCAGAAAAGCTAGCCCAAGACCCACGTGAGGTACGTTTGTAAATTTGAGACTAGAAAAATCTCTGTAATGATCGCAAAAGCACAATGCAAGATATAGCAGAGCGAATTATGGGCAACCACCAAGACGCCGAAATCCGTCCAACGAAAGTACAGTCGTTTACCGTCACTTGACGAATACTGCCAGGGGTTCCAAGTATGGCAAGAAACAGTCAAGCAACAGCCAAGCTGTGAGATCTCCAGTTCTTTAGTTTCTATTGGCTCAAAGTCCCCTGTTCGTCAACTGGCAGTATTCGTCAAACGACTGTAGTAATGATAGAGCCAGATGCACTTTGTCTTGCACTTCCCAATACAGCATTCCATGAGGCCAGAAACGGAAACACAAACGCATATGTAGACAGATAATTAGATATTAGGGGTGCTAAATAATAATCCCCGATTCGCTATTTCATAACTTTTTTTCCAACCTCAATCCAAGATTCACGGTTTATCCATTTTGCCTAACCACCCCGTTCTGCTTGCTCAATCAACAAAGATCGAGTCCTCAAACAAACCACCTACCTTTACTCGTGTAGTAATGTCAAGCAAACATAAAGGAAGCAAATACCAATAAAATAATGCATCGCAACAAAAAAAAAAAAAAAAAAAAAAGCCATAAAAAGCAAGAAATACCCCAAATATCGTTACCGTAAAATGAGTGAACCGCCCAACCCTCCCCTTATGTGTCT